TTTTTGTCTTCGATGTATTCTCATCGATAAGTAGTCTAAAAAATGTAGGAAGTTTTCCATAAACTTAAGCCGGTTATCGGAAGATTTTAGATACGAATAGAGCCCTGATTAGAGATATTAAAAGATATAACTCAAAAACAAACTTTTTTTATGAGCCAGCAACAAAGATATACTATTTACAAAAGATATAATTCAGTGCTGGATCTTGTCCATTCCGACTGTTTCTCTTTTTTGTTCTCACCTACAAGAGTCTTGAACTCATTTGGTTTACGAATATTAATTGTTATATTGCTTCGATTTAGTCTTATTTTGTGATGAAATAGCATTGCATCCTCCAACCGTCTCCAATGGTCTAATATGGACATCAAAACACTTTTATATCTCTTATAAATGAGTTGGTTCAACAAGTGGTTGTCTACATGAATTGTAAACAATGGAATGATAGATGATATCTTGCTCAGTCTCGGTCTTCAAAATGCTATCATTCTGAGACATCACGCATAATATAAGGAACCGTCTAAGCACTCTCTCAATCGATAAATCGAGATCAATCATCCACAATTAGGAAAAAGAATTGAAGAAAAAATTAGAAGAACAAAGATGATTGATTGATCTTCTCAACATAAGATTGTAGTGCATGGAAAAGGAAAACCAAGGATTTTTATATCACAAAAATAAAAACAAGAAACAAAACATGGTCTGAGCTTATCTTAGTTTCTAATTATTATTCTCATATTAGTAACAGGAATATATTCAATTCCTCCAATACTTTACACAATTGTTAGAATCATTACTTTTATTGTAACTTGATTAGATCTTAGATCCATTCTAGGTATCTATGCATTTTTTTTATATAACATCAAACGATTCCCTCGGTCCATTAGATCTTCGTCTCCATATTTAAAAAATATGCTCTTCGTTGTTGGGTAATCAACTCAAAAGGTCTTATTGCACGTAACATTATTTTTTCAATGATATCTTTTACAAATCATAATTACTTTAATCGTTACTTTCGAAGTTTGCTAGATTACCAATCAATAATACTAATACTATAGAAGATTGTGGAAGAATAAAGCGGTAATCAAATTTATTTGTCAACAAAAAAATATTATGTACAAATGGATGAAAAAAAATCAAATCAATCAAAACATCAATAAAAATTTGTAAAACGAGTTTAGTCGTTCGATCTCCAAACTAAAGCAGTATTTTATGTGTTTTTATATTCGTCTTACCATCTACAATTTATACAAGAAAAAATATTGTTCAAATTTTTGTTGTTGTTAAAATTACACATTTTTCAAGTATGTTTATGAAGTAAGATTATTTCCATTTTTTTTTATAAAAGGCAATAGTCGGATTGGTAAACTATCTCTAACTTACTATGCTGGTTAAATTGTGATCACCAATAAACTCCACCCTTTAAAAGATTTAATATTGAACAACAAATCTCAAGATATTAAGTACATATTATATGTGAACCCAATATCGAAATCATGAAAGGGCTCGAAGAGAAGAATAGTTTGCAAAGAAGAGTTTGGAGTATGTCTGTCTCTTCGTTGGAAACCTCAATCTTTCTTCTCGAGAATCTACAAAACAAAATAACCAAATAAAATAATTACACAGAAACAAGTATATCCTTTGTTTTGGTTATTAAGATAATAATATCCATTTAACTAATGAAGGTGTCAAATATTCAATTGTTTATGCTATAGAGTCTGATGGGCGATCAGAACAAAAACAACGGTACAAAATGGAAGGGTAGATGTAAAAAAGAGAGTCTCATACTTCGAGATCCCCTCTTTTCGTTTTGTTTGTATAGATAAAACATTATTGATCAAGTAGTATATTGTGGCTACATGCAGTCTCCTTTTAGTCTTTAACCCACTATCAAATTTCATTAACATCACGGGGCACGGGCTATAGAGTTTAAAATTTATATGTAAGACCTATGTATGGAAAAAAAAGTTTATGGGATAATACAAGAAACAAAAAAAAAAAAAAAAACTATTACTTCCCTTACTTTAAACTTGTATTTTTCTCTTCGTTATGGGACTAGCTAGATAAACTGAAGGTATTATTGGAATATTACAAAAAAAAAAAGTTACTTTACAAATTCCTCTAAAAGTGCATGCATGCAATTTTCTATTCCTACCCCATCTAAATAAAATTGCATATACTACATATAACATATATACTTCTTTTATGAGTTATATAAAAATGGCGAAAAAAAAAAAAAAAAAAAAATGAGTTATATAAAAAGAGTCGATCATATTTCAGTAGATTGCAATATACTCGATAGTAAACTCATATATATTTTGTAGAACGTTTTAAATTCTTCGACTTAAATTCCATTTTTGTATGAATTTCTTTCTATATGTAGACTGTTTGTTGAATCGTAATTTCATTCCCATATGATGTTTAAGCCCTTAAGTCAAAAAATTTTGTTTCTTTTCTCTCATAGTTATCTTTATGGCAGTCATTGTTCAGTAAAGAATCAGAGTATAATTTATTTTGATGTGTTAAATTTGATGAACTTTTTTTTTGTTTCTTGCTTAAATTAAGGCATTCCTTCGTGGCATACATATCTAGGAAAATGAATCTCTTAAAAAGCAAAAGTTTAAAAAGTAAAGGACTGTTTTACATGCAAGTTTAAGGACAAAATTTGTTTTTGTGTATTTATCAATTTATTGGATGTTTTTTTACGAGTAAACTCGGATAAGAAATTTTAATTTTGTAAGAGAATAGAAGTAAATCATATAATAATAGTATAATACAAAGGAGAGACCCTAGTCAAGTGCTAGTTGCCCGAGAAGAAGCAGAGCCTCATGTGATATACACATGACCTAGGAAATTAAAGGAAAAGTGTGATATACACATGACATACTTTTAGTTTTTATTACATAAATTTATGGTTTTCACATGAATATATAAGTCAGAATTTATCAATATTATTAAAGTTACACTTTGCAAGATCCAGAAAGATTAAAGAGCTCTTATGGCTTTTAAAATTACAGTTATATATAAGAATGCATATTATTGTGTGTGTGTGTATTCTACATTTACATATATTTATTCAAATATAAAAAGGACAAAAATATATACACATATGTGGTAAAAGGACATTCATTGATTAATTAGAGGGAATAGAAGAAAGCAAAAAACAGTATGTTGTGAGTAGAAGAAACAGAAGAGAAAGTTTCCAGTAATAACAATAAGTTGAGAATAGTTGCACTAAAGAAGAGCAGAGAAGAAACCTCAAGAAGAAAAAGTGTTGACCAATTAAATATTGGGAAAATACAAAGTAAAAATTGAATTGAAATTGGTATATACTAAAGTTATAAAAATAGTAAAAAAGAAAAAGAGAAATGATTGTTTAAGAAAGTAAGAGAAGGAAGTGGTGGGTGAGGGAAAGGATCGTAGTGTCAGAAAAGAAACAAGGAGGAAGAAGGAGGAGAGTCACGGGTTTGCCTTGAAAGCCACTTTTTTTTTTTTTTTTCACTTTTTATGTTATTTTATTTTAGACACTCAGACACATATTCCCCTCCATCTTCTCATTAATCGAGGTTGCTAACTTCCAAATTCTAATTTACATTTTCACATTCACTTTTTCTTTTTATAATTTTTTAATTTTACTGTCTCTTCAATTTGATCAAAATCTTAACTTTTATGATCTAGTCCATGAAAAGTTTAAATTTTATCAATACCTTTATATACATGAGATTCTCTTAGTCGGATGAGTTTAATTAAGATATGGTTGTTGTTTTGTGCGATTATTTTATGTTTACATGTTGAATTGTTTATACTTTATAATTTCTTTCAGAAAAGAGGTTAACATTTTGACGTTTTGATCGAATTATTTTTTGAAAGTTACAAGTACACGTATTGATATAGTGAGTTATGCGATATATTTTTAAAAAAGTTATGAGTGATATATACAAATTAGTATTTGAAAATTGAGCTAATAGCCTAACACATAGTATAAGTTTTTGAACAAACATAAAAACACATAAGTTTTTTCCAATGCAAAGCTAACATTTTCTATAATTTTTGGAAGTGTTAGCTACTAAATAGTTTATGAAAACCTGTTATGTAAGTAGAATCAATTTCAAAAGAGGCTAATCAACTAATTGCTCTAACTTTATTCTCTCACATGTTGAAGGCAACTTTTGCTTATCTTTCGAATATACACAAAATATAGGATTTCATGGTTGTCTTCTTTATTTGATTTTGACATGATATAAGAATCTTTAAAACTGATAAATTTAACTACTTTCGAACATTTTTTTTCTTTCGATGGTTCTACAAAGTTGCATACGACATTGCTAACAACAACAAAAAATCTGGTTTGGAAAATATACAATTGTTCGTACGTCCTAAATATGGTGTATCAGAACTTAAAGATTTAGTGGACAAATGACTAATCTCCTAACACTACTAATATCTTTGATAAGTGAAGATTAAATAGGAAAAAATAATAATTAGTAAACGTAAAAGTAAAGAAACAGTAATTGACATTGGTGCTACATTCTATATCCGTGTTTGGCGTTAAGAAAAAGTGAAAAAATCATTCATGTATAGAATCTCTCTCTCTCACTCACTCACGTATATAAGTCAATAAGTCTACTCAATTACATATCCATGAGACCATGACCATGATATTTCTTTTCTTGAATCAAACCTTAATCATTTGATGATCATTTACATTTCTTAGCCACATCCATTTTTACCAAACCTATATTTTCACCTCAATTTTTTTTTTTTTTAACCAACATTATTTTTATGTGAGCATGCAAAAGCAAAAGTAGATCACACAAGTCTTCCAATTTCATATATATCTCTAATTAATAGTAGTTACACATGAGGACAGATACACACACGTACGATCTATAAACCTCAAAGCAAAAAAAAAAAAAAAAAAATTGTAATAACAAAAAAACAAATTAGTACTCACTCACTACTCAGTACTAGACTACCATTTTTATCTCAACCCCACTCGATACAAAACAAACACAAATCTCTTCTCTCTTCTCTCTCTCTCTCTCTCTCTCTCTCTCTCTCGAACTCTCTAATGGCGATGATGGTTGAGAATAGCTACGGTGGTTACGGTGGTGGTAACGGAGAAAGAATACAACTTATGGTCGAAGGTCAAGGCAAAGCTGTTCCGGCACCGTTTTTGACAAAGACTTATCAACTTGTTGATGATCCTGCGACGGATCATGTTGTCTCTTGGGGTGATGATGATACTACTTTTGTTGTTTGGCGTCCACCGGAGTTTGCTCGTGATCTTCTTCCTAATTACTTTAAACATAACAACTTCTCTAGCTTCGTTCGTCAGCTCAACACTTATGTATGTAGACAAATCTCTCTCCTTTCTCTCTAAAGTTACGATTTTTGTTAGCAACACGATTTGGGTTTTTGAGATATCAAATGGGTTAACGTTTTTGTGATTACCCATCTCTTAAAGATACGATTTTTATATCCAAAAATGGGTTTTTGAGATTTGGGTTTATGAGATTTTTGGAGAAATCAAATGGTTTTTTTTTGATACACAACATTCTACGATCTGATTTTATGATTACCCATCTCTTAAAGTTTCCATTTTTATACCAAAAACAGAAGAAAAATGTGTTCTTGAGATTTGGGTTTTTTGAGATTTTAGTCTTCTTCTTCAAGAAATCTGATTTTGTGATCTTTGATTTCGTTAGGGTTTCAGAAAGATTGTACCAGATCGATGGGAGTTCGCAAACGAGTTTTTCAAGAGAGGAGAGAAACATCTACTCTGCGAAATCCACCGCCGCAAAACATCTCAAATGATACCACAACAACACTCTCCATTCATGTCACACCACCACGCTCCGCCGCAGATTCCATTTTCCGGCGGCTCTTTCTTCCCATTACCACCACGTGTCACCTCTCCAGAAGAAGACCATTACTGGTGCGACTCACCACCGTCAAGACCAAGAGTCATACCACCACAAACAACCACCATTGACACGGCGGCGCAAGTAACAGCATTGAGTGAAGACAACGAGAGATTACGACGAAACAACACAGTGTTAATGTCTGAACTAGCTCACATGAAGAAACTCTACAACGACATTATCTACTTTGTTCAAAACCATGTCAAGCCTGTTGCTCCAAGTAACTCTAACTATCTCTCTTCATTTCTCCAGAAACAACAACAACAACCTCCAACACTTGATTATTACAATACTGCCACTGTCAATGCCAATAATCTCAATGCTTTGAACTCATCTCCACCAACTTCACAAAGCTCTATTACAGTTCTTGAAGATGACACTAATCATCATCATGATCAGAGTAATATGAGAAAGACAAAGCTTTTTGGAGTTTCGTTGCCTTCTTCTAAGAGAAGATCACATCATTTCTCAGACCAAACAAGCAAAACAAGACTTGTGTTGGATAAATCTGATCTTGCTTTGAATCTCATGACTGCTTCTACACGTTAAGAGAGTCTTTGTTTTTTTTTTTTTTTTTTTAAAGTATCAGAATCAGTCAGCATTATTAGCACTAATGTTGTTATGATGAAGAAGAATATTATGGTTAATCTTTACTTTTTTGTTTCTTTGATTAATAATCTTTTTATGTTTTTAATTATGTTTGGTTTTGTTATTAGCTTTTTGGTTTTGTTTTCTGGGCTTGTTGTCCAGAGAAGATGAGAATGTCAGTGATGTCTAATGTAGATAGGCTTTTAGGTTACTTTTTATGCATTTTTCGAAATTTTTCATGTGTATTGGACCGATCCAGTTATTTAATTCTCTTTATTTAATGCATTCACGTCTTCTTCTTTCATTTTTATGTGTTTTGTTCTCTTTCTTTTTTTTTATCCATCCATGTCATCTTTTCCTAGTTTCTGGTTCCCAGAAATTTTAATTTTGTACCTATTGTTATTTTTCTTCGTTTTCTGAAAAACATGAAGTTATCTAAAGTACCTTTAGAATTTTCAAAGTAATTTCGACAAAAACAAAAGTAATTTTAGTGTTTGTCAGTAGGCCCAGTACCACGAGGACAAATGTCTTTTCTTTGTTCATTTGGGCCTTGTTCTATAACCCACTACATTTTTCCCCGTATAATAAAAAGTATTACACACACATTGACACATGATTTCGTAGACTAAATCTAATTTTTTGACTTTTTTTTTAGTAAGAGAGTTAAAAAAATTTTGGTATTACGAAAGGCCCTTCCAAAGATTAAGACGGTAAATTATACAACAACTAAATTATTCAACAATACAACACTAGAATTTAACCCACGGTATACCGCGGGGCTATATTTTTTTAAAAAATGTAATGTTATTTTTTTAAGGTTAACTGAAGATATATCATATTAATTTGTATTTTAAAATATAGATATCTATCTATCAATTTTTGAAGTATAGATACGAAAACATATTTTTTTTTTAAGTAACGATGTATGGTGGATTTTAAAATTTTGAATATTTTACTCTACAGTATACCGTGTTGTTTTGTTAATATTTTTTCTTTTGTTTTGTGTTTAAGATTGTATAATTGTATTTTGATTGTTAATTTTAGGATTTCATCCGTGATATACCCTTTTTTATTAATATCGACACAAACCCGTCATCCCATATAAATCCGTCTATATTATCTCGTTAGCTAAATTATTAGTGTTATAAAATCCAAGAAAATAAATTATTATTGTTATAAAATCTAATAATTTTAGGATCTCACCCGTGATATACCGTTCTTTGAACGATTTTAAATTTATACTACTAATATATATTTTAAATTTATCATATAAAGTATATGATTTCAAGTTTTTGTGTTTTTTTTTTTATTTAAATAAAGCAACGGTTTAAATGATGATAGATATAGTTTTTTTCCTATATGTATATATGATTTTTCTATGTGAATAATTTGATTATTATAAATTAGTATTTTTATTGTTATGCAAAATGTTAATATAAATATTTGCTATAAATGTTTTTTTAAGATATATGGAGAGATTGTGTAGAGATTTTTAGAAACAAATTAGGCAAGATATTGTTTGGTTAATATCTTTTATTTAAATTTTGTAAAAGTAATAATAAATGCCAATGGCATGGACTCGTAAATACTTAGCAACTCTAGGATTTATTTGCTAAGTGTACTCCAAAAATGTATATATAGATTTTCAATCAAAGTTCTTTTACTGATTTGACTAATTTATCACACTACAGAAAATGAGTATTCTTAGTGGCCAAACAACGCTATTTAACAGGATGATAGCAGAGTAGATAGCGCTATATCAGCGCCCATGATAATAGGTCGATGGCATCTGATAGCGTTTTTTTGTAGTGCTATATTTTGTTAATATACTATAGCGTATTTTCGTGTGCAATGTTATATGTTTTAATAGCGCGTATATTTTATTATTAATTATTTACAACTTTTATTTACTCTTTTTTTTAATCTTTTAATAGCAGATTTAGCACGCAATATATTCAAATGAAATAGCATTTTTAGTACGCAATGTATTAAATTAAAATTAATATGCAATTTATTCAACGAAAATAGCATTTATAATTATGTAATCTAATTTAAAAAATAGCATTTATAATATGCAATTTACTGAATTAAAATAGCATTTTTATTATGCAATTTGTTTTGTTTTTTTTTTTGGTTTCTTGCCTTGTACATAATTCTGAAGTTGTTTTGAATTAATGAAGAATAATACAAATAAACAAGAACTGTAGTTAGACAACATTAGTTTCAACTTAACCTAGCTACCTAACAGACCTCATCAATAGTCTGAGTTCCGAACCTTAATTCCTGTCCAGAATCTTCTTCAGAGTCTTATTGTTGTTACCACTTGAGAATTACCACTTCATAGACTCATAGAACTTTTCTACATGTAGGAAACAAAATTCAGACCAAAATAACATCACAAAATAAGCAATTCATTCACATAAGAAGAATGAATACGGAAATAAGTGCAAAAGAACAACAAAGCTAGCATTTCAGAATCAGACAAACAAAATGAAGACAAGTAAAGCAAAGAGACTGGTGTCTAATAATGGGATAAAGCAAAGAGAGAAGAAATTGAACCTTATTCTCAGCAAGTATAGGATATGAAGACGGATCTGAAGCCATAACCACAAACTCTGAGATTCCACGAGTAACTTAACTGAGAAAATGAATACATTACACAAATCGAAACTAATGTAAACTTTAATGCACAGAATATGGTGTAGATATTTACCGTTGCCGAAAGATGTCTCCACAATCAATTATTCCATTACTATGATTCCTTCACAATCATTTCTAACAAAAAAATTCTCATCATCAGAAGATTGATCCTCCAAATCATCAAATTCATGGATTGATATTGATTCAGGAACAAACTTCTCTTCTGTCTCTAGCTCGTGATACCCTCTAGGAAGCACCCTCATAATTACAGACCAAGGTGAAGAGTCATCTTCTACGGAGTAAAAAACTTGTTTTGCTTGAGATGAATTATTTAATCAATGCTTAAAATCTTTAAATCAATGCTTGTTTTACTCTTCACCCAAGCATTCCAAGCTGTCACAGATTGGATGTTGCTTGGCTTTAACTTAAGTCTTTCTGTCTTACTCTTTGTAGCTCAGACTTCAGAGACAAGTCTTGACTTAGAAGCCCTCCACAAACAACCCATTTGCTTTAAAATAGTATCTTTTTGGTAATCTTCTTTCCAATTGAACCTTGCCTACAATATATAAGTACAAGTGATTAAAATTTAAACATATAATAAGATTAGTAAGATGAAAGTACCTGAATTTCTTTCCATAGGGTGTCACTAGTCTGTTGAGAGAGCTTCCTCCAATCATCAAGAAGTACAGACACATGCTCTCTGACAAGAGGACCAAGGAAAGAGGATAGTGTAATTGAACCAGACCCCACATGTTCACTTGTAGATGTAAATTCGACTTCTATCTTATCCTGAATGTGTTTTGCAACTTTACTCATCCTAGTTCTTCCTCTTGTTTTCTATTTCTTTGTCTCTGCCTCCTGTGTTCGAGTTTCTTCTATGGGATGCTGCACATTAACCTCTATAGCTGCATCTACATCTCTCTCTCTATCAATTTCTGTAGCTGCAGGTTGTTCAACCTCTTCTTCTTCTCAGCCAAGTCAGAACCAAGTACATGAGCCACACTCCCATGATCTTGTTGATCAATCTCATTCACATCAACCTCATCCACAACATTAGTACTAGGACCAACAGTAGTCTAGCTAGTTTGGAAAATAGCTTCCCGGAGAATGCAGTTAGAGTCAAAAGTAGTAGGAGTTTAATAGACGGAGGATATTTTTGACAGATGTAGGCAGGTAGGAACTAGTAATAGAGAGATTGCACCATGCATGCTTTTTTACTCTTTCAAATTTTTAATGTTGTGAAGAGTTTCATAAAGAATTTTCAAGTCTCCACAAGACGTTACATGCTTCTGATGTGATATGTTGTACTTGGACTCTTGTTGGGCTTCTTAGTTGTATACATTACTAGGTTTCGGACAAACGCAGTCTTTCACATTGATATAAGGTGTAAGGTGACAAAAGGTTCTTTGCTAACAATTAACATGTCCGCCTTCTCGTCCTTCACCTCAAAATCATATGCGCAAGATATTATCTTTGATACCGTGAAAGATTCAAAAACTTATATATTGTTTAAGATGTTGCTTTATTGCTTTACGAAGACGGAACTAATCTATTTATACAAAAACTAATGTTTACTCTAGCCTTATATATCTCTCAATATATAAAGATATTTTGAGAGAACTCAAAAAAATTGTCTCTTACTTTTCCTAAAACCGTTCATATTTTCTCATTTTTATTTGGAAAAGTCTAGCCTAATTAATTAGATATAGCTTGAACTCGTTACTTTCCATTTTTTTTCCTTATTTATAACAAAGTTTTATGATCTTTTTTTTTTTTATTACCCATGATATTTTCACTGAATTGACGGTCATCATTCCAGTTATTTGCTTAAGCCAAGGTTCAAATATTTTAGAAGTAAAACAAAATGTGCAAACCATGTCATCACTCAATCTTATAAAAACTAAACTCTTTATATAATTGTGGACGTCTCTATATGCTAGTGGTATGTCTTTATATACTAGTGGTAAGGCTGTTCCTGGACTCAAATTTCGACTCCACTTACCTCATGGTTTGATGCATATATGGTCTTGTGGAATCCGACCCAAGAAAAGATTGGTATATGGCATTGCGGTCGTAGAGTCCACGAAGCCCGTTTTTTGACAACCCATACATGTAGCCAGCTGACTGGTCAGGCCTTCTGGCCGATACCAATTTTTTCTAGGCCTAATACTATTTTTGAATACTATTTGTGTTTGAATTTATTTGGAGTTATATATGTACACGTGAAAACCGAGAAACATTGAATTATTGAAAAACAAATTCATGGTCCCATTACCAAATGAATAAAGTTCTTTATTTCTAAATTTCAATCTCGCTTCCCTCCAAGATTATAAGTAATGGAACGCCATGCCCCACGCCCACGGGCACCAATTCATAATGCATGGCAGATAATCATTTGAGAATATGATTACCGGTAAAGACAGACTTAAAATATTAGGTAATTTCGTTATTAAAGATAAGCTCTGCTGGATGTTTGTTTGAATTAGAAAACATAATCTAAACATAAATAAATTTATATTATTTTTTGGTATCGTTTAATGTCCAACATAGTTATAATTTATCTTAATGTCTTTACCAAAAAAAGAGATTATTTAAGTTTTAGGGTTTCTTTTAAAACCGTAAGAAGGTATATATATATAGGGATTATTGTTGATTTTGCTCTTTTTTATCAAAATCTTTTAAAAATGCCATTTTTACGAAAATCTTACGGATTTGCCATTTTGTAAGACTTAAAAATGTACGTATTTACAATTTTGTTTTGCAAAAATACGTACTTTATACTTACTACTAAACCCTAAAAACAAATGAAACCGACTAAACCCAAACATAACGGGTAAAACGCATGTTAAATCACATTTTTACAGACTGAAAAATAGCGAAATCCACAAACTATTCAAAAAAGGGCAAAATCCACAAATGCCATTAAAAAAATGGCAAATCCGTAATTGATTATATATATATATATATATATATATATTATCTTGCATCAAAATTTGAGAAAAAAGGAAAATTGGTATATAACAACCAAGTACTATTTGGTCCAATCGCAAAAACATGACCCTTCCAAAGGAGTGGAAATCATGCTCAGGGAATTTGAATTGCTTTACCCTATCCTAAAAAGATATATAGGCTTTCGGATTTGTAACTTCTTGGTTATCAAAAGAAGAAAAGAAAAAGAAAAAAATTGGTATATAGCAAAAATAAAAGGGAGAATGTCACATACAATAATTAAGTGGGGAAAATATAGAAAAGCTACATATATATGCGTATGTATATATAGAAACAGCTAGCTAGCATGCAATGTAGCGGGAAAGCGAGTGCATGGACTTCAGTGAGTGTGTCTCATATAATGCAATTTTAACTTTTAACCTAAAAAGCAAAACTCTCTCTTTGTTTCAACCAAAATACAAAAAACCACTTGCGAGAGTCAATAAAGCATCAGACAAACAACTAACCACATACACACCACAGCTTACATATATTGGTGTCTTTGTACACATTCCATCGGAAACATCAAATTCTTGAAAAGATTGCTGATATCATTTATCATCTCTTAAAGTAGAATATAAGTATTTATCAAAAATATAACTTATTAATATAAATGTTTGAGTTCACCTGCTTTAATATGAGTTTTAATATTTTATAATTAAATATGATACTACTATATGTTCTCTCTTCTTTTTTTGGGCAAGATGCTATATTCTTCTTAAGTCGTTATAACAGTAAAAAAAGATTGTAGATTTCAAAGTTTGTTTATAGAAATATACTAGGTCTAACACCTTTTTAATTGGAAATGCTAAAAAATGAATTATTTAACTTATTACTACTCTTGTACGTACGTAGGATTTAAGATACAATACGTAATGACCAATCAGAAGAGAGTACAACTAATGACGAGTGAATTTGTTAAGAACAAAGATGAAAAGAGATGAGCTAAACTAAGCATTCATCATTAAGGTTACATCACAAAAATAATCTACACAAGATACATCAAACTCGCAGATTAATAAGGGAATTCTTAAGTAGATTTTGTAGTTTTAGAGACTTATTCTTATTTTTATTTTATTTCTAGATACCAATTGCTTCCTCTGAACCTAAACCAGATCTACATAAGAATTCCACAATTTTCTGCCTCATCTTCATGACTTCATCTACCTTCAGGGTGCAGAGGGAAAAGCTCGAGGGTTACATTGTCAATGATTTTATGAAAAGTAGTTGCCATAGTACTACTATTTTTGTTTCTTCTGTTCTCTATCTCCAAGTTCTCAAATCCCCAGCTCCTACATGTCCTCTTGTACTCATTCTCTTCCACTAACTCCTCCTTCTCCACCATAAATTCTCTCTACACAATCATAATAAGTATCCTTAAATATAGTTAAATAAAACCTAGAAAAATAACACAAAATCATTTATTAAGATATTAGACATACCCTAATGTCTAGTGACGATGATGTTCTTGTCTTCGTTGTTAGACTCGGGTTAGAGATACCATTGGTCGTGAAGCTGCTTTGGCAACTTAGGCTGATGAGGTTGTTCCTCTTCTGCTTCTGTCTCTCGCGGGCTTTGTGGTTCTGGAACCAATAGAACACATTTTTCCCTTCGATTTTCCCGTACTTACCGAGTTGCGATGTGATATGCTCGATCTGTTGAGCGTTAGGTGTACGCATTCCACCTTTGTACAACATCTCAAGTATCCCTATCTGTTCTTGAGTCGGGTTCCACCTTGTCCCTCCCGGGTGCGTCTCCAACTGAACCCACACATTAATTATTTCGTTACATAATGTTAGACATCATACATTAAAAGAAAATATATAATAATAAAAAGGAACCACTCCAGTCGTTATAAATCAATAAATGTCAAAGTATTTGGTATGCCGCAATTATGCAAAATTCTTCTAGAGTGAAATACACGTTCTTTTCTTTTCTCTTTTTCAAACAAAAGAAAAAGATGTAAGTAAAATTGTAATGTACAATAATGGAACTGACTTGATGAGGAGGGTCTCGTTTGTGTTCAAACTTTGTCGGACCGGTTAGATCAGGTCTAATGAAGCTTTTGAGGTCAAAAGTGGCGGAAGTGACGCCGGAGGAAGAAGAAGGAGGGGAGGGAGGGCTGCCGGAAAGCTTCGGGGCGAGAGGACGGAGGCGTTTGCAGCTTAGGCTAAGGGATGATGTCGAGTCATGTTGATCCCACGAAGAAGAAAATCCATTAGAAAACTCATGAACCTTCATTGCTATATGTTTTAAAAGATTAGCAAATATTGCTATGCCTTTCTCGTTACAAGACTTAAGCTTATGTATATATAGAAGAGAAGTGTGAAATGATAGTGGTATAGTGTATAATGATATCATTGGTGATATCCAGTTGTGTAGGAAAAAAGATAAAGAATGGAAAATGAACAGATGATTTTTACAAAAGTGGGACGTCGGGAAACCAAAGACCAAATGATGGGATATGGTTGACTTTATCATTTAAAATCTCTTTGTCTTTATTGTAAATAAAAATACTCGGAAATAAAAGCAATAGGTAAAGAACAAATTTGAAACTAATTGAAGACAGTGTGATCTTTGTTTTTTTTTGTTTGTTTGAGAAAGTGAAGATCATTGTGTGAATATAGGTATGCGTACGTGTGTCTGTACATACACATAATACATGCGTACGTGTGATGTGTTCATGTCTGCATGGAGCACTACTTTAAACTCTGCATAATATTTGTAGCAACCAAATTAGATTTATTTTCATGCTTACGCATGTCATGCGTGAATACCGCATAATTTATCTATCTTCTAAAATTTTCCACTACTTGTACTCTTGTAGTCTATAGTACTATGTCTTGACATCCTATAATTTAGGCAGAATGTTGAGGGACATGAACCACTAGAAATAATATGTTATAGATGCGTGATATCAAAAGACTTCACTATTCATTGAGATTGACATTGACCTAGGAGCCAATAGGTTTGCTTTTACAGAAAGGTTTGAATTTTTTTTGTTTTGTTTTGGATCAAAATCTAACAAATGCATGTGATTTATCAGAAAATTCCCAAACCAAAGCTTGACAATCTTTCATTCTACAAGCTAAGAGTAGGGACATAATTTCTCTCTCACCTTTCTTTATTTCAAGAAAATATTTTAGAAATAAAACACTGAAAAAAGTTAGCTTTAATGATAGGATGTCGAATGCTTTTCGGTGGCTCTCAAGTCTCAACTACTTTATTTAGAGAAAAGAAGAATGAGAAGAAGAATGAATAAGGGAAAAAAAAAGGTATCTTCCAATCCCAATACTCAAAATTGCTTTTGTTACTTTTGTGTTAAGATACGGATTTTGCCTAAATTAGTGCTAGTTTATAATGAGCCAGGACAGACTTTTATGCGGAAAAGAAAAGGCTAGAAATATTATAATGTATTATTATCATGGTTTATTTTGATAATAATAACATTACTATAAATTATGTTTATTTGATATTGATACAAAAGCATGGTTTGGTTTAGTATGTCAAGCGTCCCATTCACTTTAGATCAGTGTATTGTATTGTTATTCTCTTGTACATCGGGAACAGCAGAACTTCAATTTCCTAATTGATTGGGTATTTTACTAATGTAAAACAGTACGTATGCTATTCTTTTCCCATATCTTATTTTATTAATTGTAGATAATAATCCGCGCTACACCAAATTATTTTTCTTCTAATTACTTTTGACTAATATATCATCATTACAAAGAACAAGACCATAAACTCGACTAGGCCTGGACAAAAAAAACCGGACCCGATACCCGAACCGATACCCGGACCGAAAAAACCGGGTTGGAGCGGGTTAGGATATTAGGAAATTACCTCATTGGGTAGAGTTTTGGTCTACCTGTGGGTATCGGTTCGGGTCGAGGAATACCCGTTACCCATTTAGAGTACTCATAAACCCGAAACTTTTAGACATGTGTTCATATATGTATATAGATATATAGTCATATATAGTCATATATCCCTAACTTTTAAGTTTTGACCATTGAGTTTCCTAATTCCCTTCTAAAATCCATATTCCCTCGATAATCTCTGCCTAAAATCCACTTTTGAGTCTCATTATCGAAACTGAAAACCCTCGTCGCGACACTCTCGGCGACCTTACCGTCACCAAACATTCCGATGTCATGTGATTTTGGATTGGATTTACTCTTAACACTTAAGACTTAAGTAGTCATCTTTGTGATTTTTGATTGAATTTAGTCTTTAGATGTCATGTTTGATGTTCTGTTCTCTTTATTTGATCATTTGAGCATGTACAATGATTTAAAATTTTGGGTATTGGAGTCATATTTCGGGTTTATGGGTAATTTTATCCATTTAGACCCGAACCCAATGGGGACCCAAATTTTTCGGGTTTTTTTTGGTTCTCATGCTTATTACCCAAACCGACCCGAACCCGACGATACCCGAACCGGACCGGAACCGAATCTTTAGAAATACCCGAATGGACTATAAATTCATTACACATTCAACCCGAACCCGAACAGGTTTTACCCGAACCCGAACGGGTTACCCATATGCCCAGGCCTAAACTCGACCCCTATGTCTCAAGTTCTACATCCCGTGCCTATGCAAGGAATAAAGAAAAGTTCCCCAAGAACATCAAATTCTATAGAAAATTTAGGATATAATGTCTTTAAATATTTACTAATCACTAGAGATGTTTGTTAAGTTATTGTTCTTTTAGCCTCAAATGCCCACCAAGAACTCAATGTTAATCTACAATACTTCTAGGTATTTAATGTGTCCATGCATTTTTTCCACCTCATTGATTCTCCATTAATTTTATCATTTTTGTAATAATTTCTTATTTGTTATCAGATTCTTTTTGTTAGTCCTTTTTATCCAATTTATTTTTGTTCAATACTTATTTTACTATTTAAAATACAAATTTTAAATATATACCGTATTTTCTACATCATTTGTTTTTATTCTATTTTTTTAGTAACATGCATTATGTCGGGTTGAAATCAAATGGTGACACAACGACGATATTATCATTAATCACTAGATTACATGTCATTGTCAATAAGAAAATAGATTATAATAGTTTTTTGTAATTTTTTTTTGTAAAGTAATGTTATGAATTATTTCGGATAGAATTTGTGTTATATTTTTAAAATTAAATTTTATATTATATATTATAAATGATCATTTAAACATTGAGTTATATTTTCACTTTCGCTAATGGCATGAGAAACCTTAGGCACAGCTCTTTTACTACCCCTTTGATAAACAAAACATATATTTAAAAAAATATTTCTAAAATGATGAATAACTTGAAACTACACTCATATATGAGTCATATCACATACAAGGAGAATTCAATATTTTTAAGACTATGTATTTCTTTTAATAAGATTGCAACTAAAAGTTATGGTGTTTGTAACAATAACAATATTATTTTTAATTATATCTAATTCATTTTAAAAGGCCAAAAAGTACATAAAATGCTAAAGTTTATTTTACCAGTCTTATTTTGAATTAAATAATTTAGTATTATTATATATTATATTAATATATGAAAAATTGACAAAAATAGCACTAAAATAACTCCGGTAATATATTATTCCGGCTCCCCCCATGTTTTAGATTACAATATTTCCTCTTTCTTGAATTGAGTGGATAGAAATGTAATAGTAGTATATTTCTTAATTTCTCTCAAAAGATCAATACGATCACCTGGTAAGAAAACAAAACAAATGTATTGAGTTACTTTAGTATGAACAGTGAAAATAGTCAAAATTATATAGTCTCAGCTAATCTGTTATGATGCAAGTATATGTTTTTTTTTTTTTTGATCAACGATGCAAGTATATGTACAGTATCAAACTTACATTAATATGGATATCAAAGTTATGAAGGTGGAAAGTCACCGTTCATATCACTTGTTAAAACAGAACAATTAAAATCATGGAGGAAATATAGAAGTACATGTGTAGGTTGATCATGACTAATCTAACATTGAAAATATCTAATACAGAAAGAAATTATAAAACCTAACTCGAAGAACCACAAATTAGCCATTAAACACCCTAATATATCAAGCTCAAAGTTCTTAAGAGACTACTCTATCATTCATCGCACACTGGAAAGTGAGTAGAACTTTACTTAGCCCAAAAGCATCACAAGAAACTCGTAATGTCGTTCATAGTTTTTGAAAAATGTCTTCCCCACATCAGTATATGCTTCATTGTAATCTGATGGTGGAACTTTGAACGAAATTGAGATTGAAAGAAAAATGAAATTGAAATTGAAAGAACTTCAAATTGCTCCCGATCTCCTCCTCATCTCTCTTTAGCTCTTCTTCCTTCCTTTTATTTGTATCATTTATTGGTGAAGGATTTAGAACCCTCGCCAAACCCGAGTTAAACCAAGAATAATTCTATTAATGCAAGTAATTCAGACAAACCAGTAATCGGTCTACGGATAAAATCTCAAGAAAATCGTCGCTAACCTGCAATACGGAAAAGAAAAGAATGAGACGAATCTAGGAGGATAATAAGAAAACATGGAGATTTAAGGCCGAAGAATAAGAAAATAGAACATATCTTGTATAGAGATCCCTTCATATTAACTGAGGGATCGAGAACCGAACAAAGGATCCACAATTTTTACCCTAATTTTTTTCTTTTTCTTGAGAAAACTCTAACTTCTTATTCATGCAACAAAAAATATTGCAATGTGAAAGATTTTGATCGAAATTTTAATGAAAAAGCTTATTTTCTCTTTACCTAAATCAAATAAATTGTTTGTGGAACCGTAGTTTCTACGTCAATTTTCAAACTCTATATTTTTTAAATCTGTCCTCAAAACCTAAGAAAGCAAAATAAAAATGCGAATACACCTATTTATGTCTTAATATAATGATAGAATGATTAAAAAAACATAGAAAATGAGACTCTAAATCACTAAAAATGGGACATATCATATATTCCATCCATTTCATAATAAGTAGTATCATTTTAGGTTTTAATTTTTTGATTTTCAAAAAATGTTGGCTTTTATTTTTAATACAGATTTTCACACAAATTTTTGATTTTTCTCCTATTCAATAGAGAGGTAAACTAATACTATGATACTGTAAAATACAGGGAGCATAATTTGTTTTTTTTTTTTTTTAATCTTTTATTTAAATCTTCGAGTCATCCTAAATGCCTCTCGGAATGTGGAGTCTTTGTCGGAAATAACGATGTTTCACGGTAGGGTATATTTCTGATTTTTGGGAAATAAATTTACATTGGTT